TCTCAATAGGATTGAGATCCGGACTGTATGAAGGCCAAGCGAGAACGCGTCGTGGAAGACGGGTATTCAGATCATTTTGGACATCCCTGGACGTATGTTTAGGGTCATTGTCTTGCTGAAAGATCCACCGACCACCTACTAATACATCAGCATTATCATAAAGTTGTTTATTTAGAATCTGACGATATAAGTGGCGGTCAAGGTTTTCAGTAAAGACGTATAGACCGACATTTCCTTTAAAATTGATAGCACCCCAAACATGGACTTTAAAAGGGTGGTTTATCATAGGTTGGGCGGGCTTTTTTTCACGAGACCATGCCAACATCGTATTGCAAAACATCTGGAGAGTTGTTTCATCCGAAAAAACAACTTTCTTCCAGTTGTAACGCTCGTGATCATGTGCCCATAATAAGCGATTAGTCTTCGCTTGTTGTGTCAATAAAGGAACTTTTTTTGGAAGAATTGAGATATAACCAAGGTGAGAAAGCTCACGACGGATAGTTCTATCACTAACATTAAAAGTTTGATACTTTTCTTCCAAGATAGCCTTCATTTCAGTAGTCGTGGTTGCTTTTGATGATATCCCAAGCTGGCGTCGTTTTTCTGAAGTTAATTTTCTTGGGCGGCCAGATTTATGAATTTTGCGAAGTTTGCCACTTTTCTTTAATAAACTGACGTATCGTTGACATGTACGTAGTGGGATACTAGTTTTGTTTGAAATTTCTTTTGGAGTACGGATATTTTGCTGCCAAAGTAAGTTAACAATGGAACGGTTCGTTTTCACAGGGTTTGGAGACATTTTACAAAGCAAAATAAACAAAAGATGATATTAATGTTTACTGTTTATTTGTTTATCTTTTATTTTTGTAACCTCAATTACCCGATTTGCTAACAAAACTAGTCTATATTGGGCAATTGACAGTGCTACGCGTATTTGAATAATTCTAGACAACGCCATTATTTTCGCCGGGGACTGTAATTAGGCATTTTTTATAGCAAAATTATAAAAGCAAACAAAGAACGAGTTATATAAAGTTTCATAGTAAACAAAACGGAGTAAATCTTAGCTAAAAGAATTGTATAATTTTCTCATTATTTTCTGCCACCACTGTAAGATTTCGATGTTGGCGTTAAGATTAATAATTATGAAGACGAGGAAGTTGCCGACGACGATAATATTCAGTTTTAATTGACAACTCGATAATGACATGATAAAGTGTCCTGACAAATCAGATAAACCCGATGAGCCTAACAACTTCCTACTGTCACAGCAAAATTAAATAAACAAAAATAAAATAAAATAGAAATTTATAATAAGCTTAAATGTGCGATAGTGAATACTACTCATAAGCCAATGTCTTTGTGGTATGAGCCCTGTACCATCACTATTTCGTCATCAGACGTACATTATCTTAATCTCGCGTTATCCACCAAGTGCGGAGATGTAGGTCATTCTCGGCCTTTCTCCGGTTATTGTGGCGCTGTATAATAATAGAACACTGAACTATGATTGATATCAAATTCGGGCAATTTATAATGGGTAGAATACTCTATGATCGCGTGAAATAATTTATTAGTTCGTGATGTCTTATACTTTCGCCAATTTTCTGACGATATTCACAAATTTTGATAATGCGTCCGGAGCTATCTGATAATGAACGATTAACCGCAAATTAGTTTCATCTGAGTCAAATATACGTATCTTCTCTTTTGCCAATTCGCTCTGAAGAACACTAGACGTAATGCCCAATGGAGATATATCAATCCATATCATATTTGTATGAACTGGCTTGGTTATCAAGACCCCGCATTGAGATAGTTCGGAAGCTAACTGACGAGCTAGTTTGTGAGTTTCTCGAAGCCGGATTGGATAATTAGCTTCGAATGCGTATTTGGCGGCTGCTGCTATTGGTCCGGATTGTCGCCAACTACAACAGATTATGCAGAAGCGTTAGTAAAACTATTAAATATTTGATGCCAGATTATATCCGGGTAGAAAATTGACACCAATAGTTCACATAGTGATTATACGCCGCAATGTCGATATCTTTGTAATTGGTCAACTTACCCACCGCCAAATACCTTTTTAAAGTGTCTTGCCTTTTTTATAAAATCTTTATTGCCCACAAGCACGCTTCCCATAGGCGCACCTAAACCCTTCGAGAAACATAGACTTATCGAGTCAAAGTGCTTTGCGTAGTCTCTAACATTATCTCCAGTCTCTGCACACGCATTCCACAGTCGTGCTCCGTCGAGATGCATTTTTATATTATATTCTCTTGCTACAGTGGAGATATTTGCAATCTCGGACAACGGAAATAACATTCCATCCAATGTATTCTCAAGTGCAACAACGCGTGTTTGTGCGTAGTGTATATCGTCGGAGACGATAATGTTGTTCATGACATCTTTACATGTCAGGTGGATGGTATTAGACGGATGAACCGGAGTAACATGTGCACCGGAATGATGTGCCAATCCGCCACTTTCGTAGTTGTAAATGTGAGAACGAGCGTCGAGAAGTACGGAATATGGAGGTTGAGTCAGATGAGTGCGTAATGCGAGTTGATTACCCTATATTGTTGTTGTTGATGACTGCTCGCACGGGGAGTTGTTGAGTATGATAAAGCAAACAAAGTCGTATAATTTTAGTCTTACCATGGTCCCGGAAGCAACGAACACGGCCGATTCGTATCCCGCAAAATCTGCAATGAATTCCTCGAATTCATTTGTCGTCCTGTCTTCCTTCAATGAATAGCAGCTCTAGTTGTTATCCTCGTTTGATGGCTTTGTTTACGATAAGCATATTTATTACCTCAAACATATCATCCCCAAGAGTTGCCTCTCTCATAGCTTCGAACATTGTTGTTGTAGGAACAGTGACTAATGCAGTTGATTTATTGGTTATTGTTCAATAACCGAACAATCGTCTTAAATATACAGCGTGCGAAATACCGGTATCACTTCGAAAATCATATGCGGCATCTCGAGCATCATACGGAGGAGTTGGTGCTTGTTTGTGTGATTGTCCTTTGCGAAAATACGTTCTCCGCGAAACATGTACTGATAAAAAGTTTCGTAAAAGACGTGAATGGTTCATTTCAAGGATGGTTTTGCCGTATTCATGATACTAATACGTAATGCTGACGATCAAAAACTCGTGTAACTATTACTATATATGTATAAAATACGTCGGCCTGGTTCATAAATACTGTTCACTTTACGTAAATACAGTCATATCCTATGACATCCTTACCTAACTTCATAATCCCGCGTTATCCTGTATAAATGAGCTTTAAGTTTACTGTCGGCGAAATGTACTGTGGCGAAACGTACTGTCGGTAAATGTACTGTCGGCGGTCGGCGAAATGGCTGTGATGAAATAAATGACTTCACAATTACTGTTACATCATACGCAATTCGGTTTACGGTTGGTAAACAATGCAATATTAATATTAATAATTAAATCTCTATTTGCTATTTATTTTACTGATTGTTATTTTT